GCGCTCGGCGTCCACGCCTTTCCAGCCCCCCGCCCCGCGCGCCCTTCCTTTTGCCCGTCTCCAAGATGGCGGCCGCGCCGCCGCCGCCGCCGCCGCGTCCTGGCTCCGCCCCGCCCCGGCCCACCCCCGCGCGAGCCGGCCCGCCCCTCCTCCCGCCCGCGGGGCCGCGCCGCGCGCTCCCGCCACCCCTCCCCGCGCGAGCTCCACCCAGGTCGCAGGCAGCGCGGTCGGCGGCGCCTATTTCCCGCCATTGTGCGAAGTGGAGGCTGGGGGCCCGCACGCGCCGCCTGCCCGTGCCCAGCTGCTCCTTGGCTGCCGCCGCCGCAGCCGCCGTTCCCTGAGGCGCGGGCAGGCCGGGCGGCCGGCGCCCCGAGGCTCGCCGTGCGTGGGAGGGCGCGGGCGGAGGGCGGCCGAGCCCCCGAGGAGGAGCCGCGGCCCGGGACGCCGGGCCGCGCCGGCCCCGGCCCGTCGGCGAGATGCCGTGTGGGGAGGATTGGCTGAGCCACCCGCTCGGGATCGTGCAAGGCTTCTTCGGTGAGTGGCGGCGCCGGGGGCGGGCCGGGCGGGCCGCCGAGTTTGCCGAGCCCGGGGCCCGGCCCCACGCGGGGCTCCCCCGAAGGCTGGCGTGGCCGGCCGGGCCTGCGCGGGCGGCGCGGAGACACCCCCGGGCCGGGGCCCGTGCGCGTGCCGGGGCCGCGGCTGCCCCGACCCGCCGCAGGTGCCTCCCACCTGCCCGATTCGTGGTTCGCGAGCGGCCAAGGTTACGCGGCGAGGGGCCGGCGGCCGGCACTGATTGCCGGCCTCGCTCCCCTCGGTGGCGCCCCGGGGACCCGCGCCCTGCGTGCCGGCGCTTCGCGGAGGGGGTCCTTGAACCCTCGGGGGGGCCCGCCGAGACGGGGCGACGGAAAGCACTTTGCCTCTGGGAAGCCTGCAGGATATTTCAAAACTTCCGGTGTGTCGGGGCAGTGCTCGCTCGCCGCAGAAGTTGGCTCTAACTACTGTATTACACACATCCTCCCTTTTCGCGATAAGAGTAGGGGCAGTAGCTTCATTTTTCTGTTATGATGACTTTAAAGCCTCCTTTCGTGCCAGAGCTAGCAAGAGATGTTGAACTCAGCCGAGTTTCTGCGTAGGAAAGGGCTTAGGATGCTGCAGACCAGCTTAGTAAATTTTAGTTGTAGTTCTTGTTAATGCTCCTTCCCTGCTAAGCATCCATGAAGGAAAACTGAGGCTTGTTTGCGGTTAACTAGGCGTTTTGACCCCGCCCCCCGCCCCCCGCCCCCCGCCCCCCGCCGTTCTTTTTGCACTTGCGAGTGGTGGAGGCAAAGCAGAAATCACTGTTCGGTTGTGGCACCTGGAGGTAACTTAGTGAGTGGCTTGAGCTCATTTAAAGCGCCCGGGGAGGGGTGGTATCCGTGAGAACGCTTTGATACCGAAGCTAGATGGTTTCCAGCAGCCAAAACCAGTGGCGGAAAATGCACGTTATTTCATGTAGGAGGGATTCAGCAACTCTTTATTCATTTTCCCTATAATTTGAACCAGTTTAGTCTTCTGGTTTCCCAGGCTGAGACTAGAAGCAGTAAATTAGAAGGCCTGTGTAGGCATCAAGACTGTAGTCCGTGAACACTGACAACCTGATAAAGATTCTAAAGCTATGTATGTATATATACATTTTTTAAGGCAAAAAAATTTTTTTTTTTTTTTTACTATATCGATAAGGGTGCTTTGAGGAAGGGGCATATAGTCCTCCACTAAATCCTAGTAATTGATGTTCACAACGAATACTGAAACCCATTATTGACGTCCAAAATAATGGCTCCAAAATGTGGAGTGAAGATTAAATTGCACAGTTGGTTTAGGTCGGTGCAAATAGATAGGTGGTACTTAGGGAAAATCCATCAAAAGTGAAAAGTTTTGGGGCACCTGGGTGGCTCAGTCCGGTAAGCGTCCGACTCTTGGTTTCGGCTCAGGTCGTGATATAAAGGTTCATGAGTTCAAGCCCCGCATCAGCCTCTGCGCTGATAGTGCGGAGACTGCTTGGGATTCTCTCTCTCTCTCTCTCTCTCTCAAAAGTAAATAAATAAACTTAAAATGTTTTGGTTCTTAAGGGCATAGTTCCAGTTATGGATATTTAGAAAGTTTGTTTATGAGAAATACTCCATACCCTGGTCTTGCTGGATAAATAAGATGATTTAATAGTTGATGGAGTTTTGAAAGTATTTGTCATGTTTTGTTTCCTATGTGGATGATCCTAAGGGGCACATCTCATTATAGTACAGAAAGGGTATAATTTGGATAAAAATACTGGATTTACAGTATTTTGTAAGTTTTGTAAGTTGTTATGGGCACCTAGATCTTGTTGTGTTTCCCCAGAGAATCTTATTTTCCCATATAAGTTGTCCTAGAAGAAAATAATACTGCTTTAAAGCTGTGATTTTTTGTGTGTGTGAAAGCTGTCTTGAACTATGTATTTTTACTGTATATTCTTATAGCTATGAATATGTTGAATACCTTTATATTAACAGCATCACAGGTATGTTTCTGTGAGAAGTAGGTCAGGTGTTAAACTTGTAGACTCTTCAGTACATTGTTTCAAATTGATTTCTCACACAATTAGAGAAATGATTGTTGTGATTTCTGAGGCCTTTCTAGGGTCCACCCCTACCTTGCTCTCCGACCTCACCTCATCACATTCTCTCTCCTGTTGAACCCTCCTTCAGTTCGTTAATTGTGGACCTTGCCTCTAGGCCTTCTGCATCAGGTCTTTCCTTTGCCTGGCCCCCTCCTCATTCCACTTGCACTTTCCTGTCTAAATCTACTCTCCTTTTGGAAACCTAAGCTAAGTACCCCTTGCTTCAGTTACTACAGGATCTGTCAGGTCCTGGAAATTAGCATATGTTAACCCTAAAAATAAAACTGCCTGGTATTTTACCAATAAAAATGGGTTTACTGGGAAGTGACAGAGAATTGCAGTTCGGGACATGAATGCAAGCTAAGGCAAACCATGGACAAGTCTCACAAACAAAGGAGAGGAACTTTATTTTACAGAGAAGGAGGAAGTTGGGATAGGTTATTTGGAAGGAAAGCCCATTGGAGAAAAACAAGGGTTCAGGGTGATGATGCTTTCTCACTGGCTGAGTTGCAGGGATAGTAGATTTCTTGTAGGAGATTGAATGTATTAGCTCTCCCTGTTGGGGCCTATGATTGATCCTTAACCTGTTGAAGATTCTTCTGTAAGGGGTCTGTAATTTACATTGAGGGGTAGAGCTCCCCCTTTCAGCCTCCCAAGTCCATTTTAGTGAGGTTTCCCTTTATCAATTTCACATAAGTAAAGCAAGTTGTTGAAAGTACTTTGTTTCTTGGGTTCCTTTGCTATATTTTTTCTTAGCGAATTCAGGGCCTGTATCAGACTTCTTCATCAGTATATCCTCGTTGCCTGGAATGCACCGTGCACAGTGAAAATGCTCAGTGAACATGTGTTAGAGGCAGTGGAAAGACTGATCAATCAGAAATGGTGTGAATTGGGATGGTTTCTGTGACCACAGGTCTCAGACATAGGACAGTCCTGATGGAACCTCCTGTTGATTCAGAGAATTCATGATCCTGCGCAGTATGAGTTACTTTCACGTGCAAGCCCTAATTCTTATTCGTTTAGGTAGGAAACTTTGACATTCTGGGAGTGGCCAATCGTAACTCCTTGGGTCATAATTTATCTTTGTGGATCAATCTGTACTTGGTGTACCTGCTGTATTACAGTTGTTTGCACATTTTTTCCCGTGAGTCCTCATAAAATCTTGAATGCTTCACTTGGAGTATAAAGATTTTATATACAGGACATTGAGGTCCAAAGATTTAAATTATGATTTAGGAATACTTCAGCATATCTCTGTTGGGCTCTGTTACGTGCCTAGTGCTAATGGCTGAGTCCCTACAGTGATCATTCAGTGATCCATATCAAATTGCTTCCCTTTTTAAAGGCAGGAATATTAATTTAAAAGTTGTGGTATACCTTTTTTTTTCTCTTAATCAGTTTTTATTTAAAAGAAATTTCCTTCACTCGGGTCCTCTCTACTGTACCACATTAACCCTGAAAGACTAGCTATACTCATTCCAATCCTCTGCTGCCTCAGTTTCTCTTGAATGATCTACTCTGGTGTGACTGTACCCTCACAGGTGGCTCCAACCCGCACCAGGAAGGGTGAACACTGGTGGAGCCCCCACGGGCAGCACGAGGCACTAAGCTCCCAGGTAACCATGGAAGAAACGGGAGGACATCCTCCTGTAGCCCCTCCCCATTTTCACCCACTCCTTCTCATCGAGTGGTACCTGTCAAAATGGAATTGGCTTGATCTAAGCGGAGACTCCTAAGACAAGATTTCTAGATCTAATTGCTAGTTAAATTAAAAAGAATAAATTTGCTTAGAGCAGCTGACTGGCTCAGTCAGAGGAGCGTTCGACTCTTGAGTTCAGGGTCATAAGTTTGAGCCCCAGGTTGGATATAGCTATTACTTAAGTGAAATCTTAAACATCATTAAGGGGCATCTGGGTGCCTCAGTCAGATAAGCGTCAGATTCTTGATTTTTGACTCAGGTCATGATCTCATGGTGGTGGGATCGAGCCCCGCATTGGGCTCCGTGCTGAACATGGAGCCTGCTTGGGATTCTCTCTCCTTCCCCCTCTGCACCTCCCCCACTTGCAGATACTCTTGCTCTCAAAAAAAGAATATGTAAAAATTTTAAAACATCATTAACAGTTTTTTTCCTTACTTGAATAACCACTGGCAATTTTGGAAAATGTAGGAATGCTTATTGACTGATTTCTTTCACTGTTTTTAGATTGTTGGTTGGGTCAAGATCATTATTATTGGTTATATTCAAGGTACTGTGGTTGTATCTTAACACCCAGAACTAGACTAAAAGAGCAGTGTTATGTGGAGGAGGGCAGGGAGAAGGATTTGGTCACTAGCATTTTAACGAATTGAAAGCAGTAATAAAATTGACTAAAAGTCCGTTTGCTTTTTTATTGTCAGCATGATTCTGGACAGACCGTTCATCCCCTTTTGTTTGTACCTGGATCTCCCCTACCACCCTGACCTTGGTAGGCCGCTGGAAAAAAGGGCATTTGTTACAGGCTGTGGAACCAAAGACCGGGAGGCTGTCCTGGCGTCCCAAGAGTGGAACTGGAAAGCAAGCAGGGATCTAAGCAGCTCTTCGCAGACCTTCTTCCTTAGGCTCTGTTCGTCTGTGCACACGAGTTTTGTCTGTCTGTACTCCACGGCTCCCGGCTTCACCGGGTCTCACTTCCACGCTGGTTAGCATCTTAATCTCAGATTCTAGGGTTAGAGAGTCTGACCGGCCCAGCATGGCGTCAGGGTCCACTCATGCACTAGCGGCCGTGGCCAGCGCACAGAGAGATGTCGGGCAGTCCCACGCCTCCACACTGGGGCAGGTTCTCAGAGAAGAAGAATGAATTGGGCACCTGTGGCAAAAGGCATAAATATGTATATATGCATTTTTAAATAAATAATAACTCACGCGTGATTTTAAGAAACATGGTATTAAATGATGAGTAAAAGGATGCTCTTTCCCCACTGAAGTAACCGCTTGTAATTCTGCTTTTGGTGCCTTTATTTTTGCAATTTTTTTATTGAGATATAACTCACATAACATAAAAATCATGTAGGAATGAGCACTTCATTGATTTTTCATGAAAATCACTGTAGTCACTCACAGTGGTGTACACCCATCACCACTATCATTTCCATTATCCCAAAAAGAAACCCTATACCTATTAGCAGTCACTCCCAATTGCCCCCTCCTCCATTTTCTGGTAATCAGTCTACTTCTGTTTATGATTTACCTATTCAGGACATTCATATAATTGGAATAATACATGTGGACTCCTGTATCTGGCTTTTCACTTAGCTTAATATTTTCAGGATTCAACCATGCAGTGGCATATATCAGCACAATATTCCTTTTTCTGACTGCAAATAATATTCTGCATGGATATACCACATGTTCATTCATGGATGGGCCCTTGGGTTGTTCTACTTCTTAGCTGTTGTGAGTCGTGCTGCTGTAAATATTACTGTACAAATTTTTGCGTGTTCTGTTCTCTTGGGAATATACCTGGGAATGGGCTTGCCAAGTCATAAGAACAGTGGAGGTCCACATAGTCAGGTAGGAGCCTGATATGGGGCTCAAACTCACCAACTGTGAGATTATGACCTGAGCCAAAATCGAGAGTCGGATGCTAACTGAGCCACTCAGGTGCCACTTTTATGTTTAATTGTTTGAGGAATTGCCAAACTGTTGTCCAAAGTGGCTGTACCACTTTACATTTTCACCAGCAATGTGTGAGGTTTCTAAGTTACTTACATCTAATTTTGTTTTTTTCTGTTTTATTATAGTCATCCTAGTGGGTGTGAAGTGATAACTTCTTGTGGTTTTGATTTGTATTTCTCTAATGACTAATGGTAATAGCATATTTTAATATGCATATTGGCCATTTGTATATTTTCTCTGAAGGAATGTGTATTCAAATCCTATGCAAATGTTTTAGTTGGGTTTTGTCTTTTTATTGTTGAGCTTTGAGTTCTTTGTATAATCTGCATACTAGACTCACCAGATATATGTAATTTGTAAATATTTCTACCATTTTGTGGATTATCTTCACTTTCTTGGTAATGTGTTCCAATGTAAGTTTTTACTTTTTTTTTTGGTGCATAATACGCTGTAGTTCACGTAAAGGAATGGAGGCACCAGAAGAACTTTAATAACATTTTACTTGTATATGTTTAACTTTTTAATTTTGATGAAGTCCAGTTTATCTGTCTTCCCTTTGATTGCCAAATTTCAGAACCCATTGCCTAATACCAGATGTCAATATTGATACCTATGTTCTTTCTAAGAGTTTCAGTTTTAGCTGTTAGATTTAGGTCTTTAATTAATTTTGAATTTTTGTATAAGGTAAGAGGTAGGGATCCAGATTCATTCTTTTGCACATGAATATCCAGTTATCCCAGTGTCATTTGCTTTTGGTTTATTTTTTACATTTACCAGTTTATTATAAAGGATATTATAAAGTATTGAGTTGGACAGCCATATGGAGGATGCAAAGAGTGGGATCTGGAGTAAGTACCCCGTGCTTTTATCTCCAGGGAACTGGGGGGGGGGTGCGCTCCCTCCCAGCAGTGGATGCGTTCCCCCATCCTGGAATCTCCTGCACTGGTTTTGAAAAGTCAGTTCTCCCCACTGAATGGTTTTGACACCTTCGTCAAAAAAACATTGGACTGTAGATGTGTAGTTTTATTTCTGAACTCTTGGTTCCATTCTGTTGGTCTCTATGTTTATCCGCATGCCAGTACCACGTTGTCGTGATTAGCTCTGCAGGAAGTTTTTAAATCAGGAAGTGTGAATCCTTCAACTTTGTTCTTTTTTAATATGGTTTTGGCTCGTTAGAGTCCCTTGCATCTCCATATAAATTTAGAATCAGATCGCCCATTTCTGCAAAGATAGGCATTGGGCATTTTGGTAGAGATTGCATTGAATCTGTAGGGCTTTTAGTTCTTTGATAATAGAAAACAGTTAAGATTACAGACACTAGAGCCACACTGCTTCTGAACTTCTGAACCATACCCTGGATATTTGGCTCCCTGAGTCATTTCTTAAAATATTTCCTTTTTTTCCCCTTCAACTACTGAATGATTTTCAGTAATAATCATGAAATGAAGTTATACACAATGCTGAAGGTATTATATATTTCAAGATAGTTTGGGTCATTGCTTCTATCACCTTCTTCTGTCCCCCACCCCACCCCTTCAATGATTTTAGAATTTTTTTTGTTGAGTTCCACTGTATTGATGTTGTTTCATGTTGGTATGGGTACCACACATGAGATTTGAAGAATTTCGTTTTAATTATATAATTAATTATTTGGATAACTTCCCAAGTTCCTGCAGGACAAAAAAGAAACAATTGATAATTAACGTGAATTCTAAAGAAACAAGAAACTGCAAAAGGCACAAGTTAGGCAGTTCCCAAATTGTGCTACTGATGTGAATGTATTTTTTGTTGTTAATGTCTTTCCTTTCCCTTTCCCTTTCCCTTTCCCTTTCCCTTTCCCTTTCCCTTTCCCTTTCAAAGCACATGCACAAGCAGGGGAGAAGGGCAGAGGAAGAGAGAGAGTGTTAAGCGGGCTCCACCGCCAGCGCTGAGGCCCACAGGGAGCTAGATGCAGGGGCTCGAGACTAACACCATGAGATCATGACCTGAGCCTAAATCAAGAGTCAGTCACTTACCCACCTGAGCCACCCAGGCGCTCCTGTTAATATAGTTTCTTGATTTAGTTATAAAGCAAAGAATAGTTTGAGAAGAATATGTTTTAGTGTTAAATACTAAATTCAGTGAATTATTTTATGTGTGATCTAAAATTTGTGCTTACTCTGCCTCTCATTTCACATTGTTTTAAATGTTAAACACAACTAAACTCTCCCAAATTGTCTCATAGAAGATAGAATTGAAGTAACTCAAGTTCTGTTTCTTCATCTTTACAATCACCGTGTTTATTTAAAATCTGTTGTATGCATGTAGGACAGTAGAGTGCCCCACAGGGACTGGGGGATGCTAATTGCCCCTAAGCAAGTTTGGACTGTTCTGGACCACTTAGAGATTTACTGTCCAAACAAATGCACTTAGCTAAGTCTTTATTGGGAAGAATGTTGACAACATTGAGTCTTCCTAGCCATGAATGTGGAATATTTCCCCATTTATGTAGTTCTTGAATTTCTTTCATCAGACTCTTATAGCCTTCCTCATACAGATCTTATACATATTTTGTTAGATTTATACACAAGAATTTCATTTTGGTGGATGCTAATGTAAAGGGTTCTGTGTTTTTAATTTCAAATTCCACTTGATCATTGATAGTATATAGGAATATGATTGAATAGCGTATACTAACCTTGCATTTTGCAGTCTTGCTATAATTGCTTATTAGTTCCATTAGGGGTTTTTTGTTGTTGATGCCTTTGGATTTTCTATGTAGAAACGTCTTCTGCAAACACTTTTATCTTTTCCTTCTGGGTCATTATACCTTTTATTTCCTTTTTCTGTCTTATTGCATTAGTTATGGCTTCTAGTACAGTGTTGAAAATGAGTGGTGAGAGGGTCTTCGTTGGCTTGTTCCTATCTTAGTGTGAAGTTTCTGGTTTTTCACTTATTTTTAATTCTTCAGTTGCTTTCCTTTTGAATGTAAAGGCATATTCTGAAGTTGTTTTTTCCCTCCAGCAACTTTAGATAACCATTTCAGAGTTTCCATTTCATAAGATGAGGAAATTAGTGTCTACACAACTCTCCATTGCTTCTACCCAATTTGTGTCAGTCATTGTGCGTTACCAAAGTTTACAAAGCTTTAGTGCTTTGTCTGATCATATCATAAAGGTCAAAAACCAGTGAATAGCATTTACGTTATTATGATTGTATAAGTGCTTTCCCCGCAGAACCGTTTAAACGGACCAGTAGAGAAGGAAGTGTAATCCTGTCATTAAATTATTTTGATTTAAGGACAGTGTTTCAAGATTCAAGGTCAAAAGGTTTCTCTTACACTCCAAAGTTTACTATCAAGCCATAATTATCATTTTTTTATCATGAGCTACGTTTTGCATTTTATCAAATACCTAATTTTCTATCCCCTGAGATGGTTATAGTTTTTCTTTAAACTTTTAATGCCATAAATTACACTCCTAGGTTTTCTGATCATAAACAACCTTTGTATTATTGGGATAAGTACTGCATGATCATGATTTCTTTGTGAATTGGATTCAGTTAACTAATAGAGGTTTATGTAGTTTATATAGGAGTTTTGCATGTTCATCTTTTGTGAACAACTTGGCTTGAAAGTACGAAATTATCTGGATTTGGGACTTCATGGGATTGAGAGGAAAAGATCAGATTATCTCTCATGCAATATTAGACATACAGTGTTCTTTGACCAAATTGTGATAACCCTAAGAGCTCTGTCTGCCAATCTTGTGGCAGTTTGGGCAGTTTATATTCTTTCCGAAATTTAACTGTTTCACCTGAATTTCAAATATGTTAGTTTATAGTTCATAATATTTCACATAGTTTTTAGTATTTCTGTTATCTATACCATTTCCCCCCTTTTTTTGTTTTGTTCTATAGTTGCTTTTTCCTTTTTCCTTTTTAAAAATTTTTTAAAAAATATTTGTTTATATTTGAGAGAGACAATGTGTGAGTGGGGGAGAAGAGACAGACAGAGACAGAATCTGAAGCCGGCTCCAGGCTCTGAGCTGTCAGCACAGAGCCCGACGTGGGGCTCAAACTCGCAAGCTGAGATCATGACCTGAGCTGAAAGCAGACACGTAACTAAGCCACCCAGCACCCCTATTTTTTCCGTTTAGTATCGCGTTCTCTTTGTTTCTTTTTATTTGTCTGATTTTATTCTTTGGATTTTCT